CGGGATGTATTGAAGAGCATGGGGCTGAGCAGGTCATAGACTGCATAGGTTGTCTTGTCTCCTTGGACAATTGCTTCGTGTACAGATGTTGGTGTGGGGGTCACTTCCAGTAAGTCTTTTTCCTGAGAAATCAAGTGGATCATGAAAACAAAAATTCCTCTTGAAATAAATTGTGGTGCTAGGCAAAGCCCCACTCAGAAGTAGCCAGCCCTGAGCTTTCCCACCCAACAATCAGTTGAACACACTTGCTGACATCCCTGAACTCAGTCCCTGATGTAAGAGGCGAGGATGCTCCAGTGCCACTGAACTGAGAAAGCAGGATGCTCCCTCATCCATGGGTGTTACCTTGTTCTTAGGAGAGATGTCAACATAGACCTTGCTCTCTGATGCCAGAGGACACGCGTCGGTAAGGGTGCGAGAGAACATCTTAAACAGGGACCAATCTGTGGGAGGCAAATCCAGTGATGGATGGTATGAGGTGGGCTGTAGGGAGCACAGCATAGTGGTGCTGAACTTACCTTTCTTTCCTTGGCCACTGGTAAAGCTGTCAAAGACCACAGTGAGTGTCTGCCTGAGCTCCCAGGAAACAGCCAGGCAGGAAGCATCCTGTGGAAGAGACAGCTTCAATCACACCTTCTGGAAAGGCAAAACAGCAGGACTGCAAGAGTCCCATCAGGGCACACATGAGACCAGAAAAAGTGTGAGATACTGCAGGGGAGGTGGCCAAAATCATGTCACTGAGCAGAGTCACAACAACAAGGCTACTAGTTTTCCCTTGGGGTGATAAAGCTTCCTACAACTCAGCACTGGTGAAAGCTTGCTAAAATTGAATTCTCCTCAATTTGTAGAGCATCAAGTGGCCATGAGACACTTTGCTCTCCCCAGCTGCTGGAGCAAGGAGGGAGGAGCAGGAGGGAGCCACTGAGCTTGATGCTTACCCGGCAGATGGGGCGGATGTGCACTGCCTGTGAGTGGTAGCTGCTGTGGAACAACCGCTCAGCCTTGAGCAGCACAGCCAAACCAGCCTGCAAGGGGAAGAGGAAAAACTCAGTCCGTGGTCTGCTCTCTATAAGGCTTTGAGACTTCCTTGTGCACATTACTGAACTGCACCTAGCTCCACAGAGTGTAGCCCAATGCAGGAACAGAACTCAACATTACCTTTGAGCCACATGGCAGCAGCTTCTTCCAAGGTGTGAGGTTCTCTGTGCAGACCACCTCCCGGGGCAGGACAGCATATCGCAGGAGACGGTGATCTGTCCCTGTGTAGGGAAGTGGAGAGTTAGCAGTCTGGGACTGTTTAGCCTGGAGAAGTGAAGGCTCAGGGGAGACCTTTTCACTCCCTATAACTCCCTGAGAGTTGGGGGTCAGCTTCTTCTCCCATGTAACAGCAATAGGACATGAGGAAATGGCCTCAAGTTGTACTAGGGGAGGTTCAGATTGGATATTAGGAAGAATTTCATCTCTGAAAGAGTGGTTAGGTATTGGAACAGGTTGCTCAGGGAAGTGGAGGAGTCCCCATCCCTGGAAGTGTTTAAGGAAAGTGTAAATGTACCACTTAGGGACGTGGTTTAGTGGGCAGCATCGGTGGTAGGTGGACGGTTGGACTAGATGATCTTAGAGGTCTTTTCCAACCTTAATGATTCTAAAGTTCTGCTGCAGAAGCAGATCAGTTCCATTCTCTCGCGTACCTCAGAGCCCAGGACCCTTTGAAGGTGCCTAAAATGCCACAATCTCAATCAGGAATAGATTCTACTTGTTCAGAGTGATTTGGAAAGACTAAAGTAAGAGTGTCTCTTCGCAGATTTTTTTTCAGAGTGCCTTAAATCCTGCAGTTCTCACTGGATGCTCTGTAAAACATGTTTCAGAGATAGCTAAGAGCTTACAAGCACCTGCCACATATTTATTTCGGGTTTCCTCTGCACAAATATAAGCTTCAATAGTAGGGAGAGGAAATGCTTCCAGCAGGTTAACAATCCCCAGTGTACATGTCTGTATTCAGATAGGGCACTGCCAGCTGCTGGAGTAAGGTTAGCTGACAGGAAACAGAGTGGGAACACTTGTTCTCCTGAGCGAGCTAGCACAGCACCAGCCTCTCTGGTATTTGTTCATGGACACAGGATTTCCCTTCCCAGGGATATCTCATCACAGCGACATCCACTCAGGAAAAAACACTGCTAGTGCAGGAGTCCCTGCAGGACCTGCACCCAGCTGCCCCAGTGCGGCATAGGGGTAGTAGAACTAAGGCTAGGGACAAGAGTCAGTGCACAAAGCCAGCCTTTGTGATGTGTGGGTCAGGCTCACCATTGGCTACACCCAGGGGTTTGAAGGACGCTGTTGGAGTGACTGTGTTGGTGGAGTCAATGAAGTTCAGAGAAGCACAGAATATTCCCGAGAGGATGTTACTCAGTTCTTTCCAGGCTTTGTCAACACTGTGTGAGAACAGACACCAAAGGTTACTCATTAGCTTGGAGCCTCAGAATAACAGGTGTTAATTCAGTAACATCCAATAACATACTGCAGTGACCACACTGGCTTTCAGGAGCTTTCAGGTTGTTGGTCACTCACTCTCCACCCCTTCCAGTGCTTTGTTCTAACACATGAGATGTAGGCAGGGTCAGTCGCTGGGCTGGCAGTGTGTAGTATGCAAGGCTGGGGAAGCAGGAGCAAGTGGTGGGGGCTGGATGGGGCAACTTCAGGCAGCTTTCAATAGGATGGCAGGACAGAGAGAGCTCTGTGAATCCACACTGAACTGCTGCTGCCAAGCTAGAGGGAACGTGAGATAGGGAATGGTGACAGACAGTGTATAGGAGTCAAAGGAAGTGAGTCATGCGTGAGAGCTTGGGGTGTAACCCTGCCACCACAGCCAGAGCTTTGTCATCACAGAGACAAGAGGGAATTGTTTCTTGAGTGAACAAGAGCTTTCTCTCTCTGCACCACTCTGCTCTTCAGACTGAGCGCAGGTCCACTCTGCTTCTCCTTACAGCTGCTCCTCTCTTACAGGCCCTTCACTCCAGCTGACATCAAACCATTTCTAGCTGAAGGCGAGCTCCAGCAAGAAGTGCCTTTGAGGAGAGGAGGCTATGGGTGGGATGGACACCGTGCTGCAGGGACAGATGTGCTGCCCTGCCCTCCAGCTGCAGCCCTGCATCCCACCTGGCCCAGGCTACAATCCCATAGGTGCAGTGGTGCTGGAGGTACGTACTCAGGGACGGTGTCCTGGAACCAGACCCAGAGCTCAGCACCAGCAGGGGCCCCCAGGGGCGGCTGCCCCCAGCTCTGGGTACTCCAGAAGCCCTGGGTAAGGGCAAGGTGCAGCTCCCGCACGCCGTGTGCCGCCACCAGCTGCCCCAGCGCCTTCGGGAAGAGCCTGTAGTGAGAGACTACGGGGGTGTGAGTGCCGTGACGTCACCGCTGCGATACCGCGCCTCCTCCTGCTGACGTCATCAACCCCATGTAATCACGCAGCCCCGTTCCCGTGTCACCGCACCCCACGGCATCAGCACCAAGCAGCCTCGCCTCCCTTATCAGCACGTGACGCGACACGACCTTCGGCCCCGCGTGACGTCACTACAGCACGTGCAACGTCGCACGCCCTCCCACGTGACGTCACACCTGCATCTCCGACGCCACCGCGCCGCCCTACCTGCCCCGCGCTGCAGGTCGGCGTCCCAGCGCGTGCGGAACTGGAAAACGGCGGCCACGTCCCCCACGGGCAGAGGCCGCAGCAGCAGCTCCTCCCGCAGCACGCCCCGCGTCGTCCCCTGCCCCAGCCCCGCCGCCAGCAGCAGCACCAGCCCCACCGCCAGCATGGCCGCCCGCCCCCGCCCACCTACTTCCGCTTCCGGTCCTGCCGCCCAATGGCGCCCGCTTCCGGCGTCGCGGTGGAGATGCGGTCCATGTGCCGTGCCGTGCCGGCAGCGTCCTTCTCGTTGCGCCTGACCCGGTCAGCGCAGTGAGGTGTCGCCGGCTCCAGTGGCGACGGCATCCATATCGCCCGCGTGGCAGGAGCCTGGCTTCTCCACGAGGTTTCCTTTGCTCCTGCCATCTGTGGGCTCTGCGAGGATTGTCCTCGAGGCCCGGCTGCCCTCACTGCCCGCGGCTCCCTCTCCTCAGAATACCCCTCTGCTTTCTGTTCTCCCAGCGATGTGTCTGTCCTGCAGGCAGCAGATTCCTTTGGCAGTGGGCCCATCTGCACACTGCTCCCGTCTGCTAACCTCGGGAGGAAGGCCGCACTGTGACAGTGCTGGCACAGGGCTGTGATGGAGCTCCTCATACCCAGAAATGCAGTGCCCTCTGTGCAGGGCTGCCTGCCTGCAGCATGGCAAGAACATTCCCCTAGGGAACAGCTGTGTACACAGTGTTCCTAGATCCCTGTTGCTTATCTCCATGTTCTTTCACTTGTGGGCTGACTGTGGCTCTGCTGACGCAGCCAGGGCAGTGACAGCACTTTCCTGGCCTACATCTGCTGATAGAAGTAGTAGGCCCTGCTTGTCCTGGCTCATAAAGCCAGTGAAGCAAGCTGCAACAGGGCTCCACTGCAATGGCTCCTCCTACGCTCCTCCAAATCAGCCTCCAGGCAGGATGATGCTCCTGTACTGTGCTGGAGGGGCAGCAGCAGCTGATGCTGTGTGTGCTGATGGACTCTGTAAGCCTGTTTGCATAGGAAATCTTCCTGGTAGTTACAGGTCACCAGCAAATCTCTTGAGGTCAGCTGTGCCATGCTCAACCCCTGGCTGCTTGCCTCATGGATGCAGCACTGCATGGTGACCTGCCCATCCACACATGACCTGCTTTGCAAAGCAAGCAGAAGTCTGTGCTGCCTGTTCCCCACATGCAGGACTTCATCCTGTGCTGAAGCTGGGGTGCATAGCAGGAGAACTGCATTAGTTTGCTCCCAAGTGGCACTCAGCACACTTACTTCATAACTCTCTCCCTCCTGCAATCCCCACCTAACCTTCACCCCAGTGCTGTTTTCTCCCAGTAACACACACACCCACTGCTTGGTTAGATAGGAGTATTATTTCTCTGTATGCCTTTGTTAAATGCTTGTCTGGATAGGGTGCTTGTCAGTGGGATGATGGAGCTGGGATCCCAAGGGATGGTTTCTGGGAATGGTAGGGCTGTGGGATGCTGAGCATTTGAGGGGAATGAAGCAAGGGAGTGTTAGCAGCAAAGCCTGAAGAGTTAATTTTGGGAACCTACAATGCCCCTTTGCTTCTCCCTTGGATGCCAGGAGAACCTGCAGAGGGAGAGGAGGGGAAAACTATCTCCCCTCTCCTGTGAGACAGCAGTCCAGGATGGGTTTTACTGAGTGCCAGCAGCTTTCCTTCCTCCAGGCTGGCAGGTCCATCCAGAAGAGGCTGGGAGCAGGGCTGGCTGCTAGCTTCTTGCTAGCTCTTTAGGACTGTCCTCCTGCAGGTCCTCCTCATCTGACTGCACCACGGGGGTCTCAGCCCCCTCCTCGCTGGTGTCCAGGCTGTTGGGATCCGTGGAGACAGAGGACGTGGAGGAAATGCGTGACTTGGTATCAGCTGCATGGGGCACTTGCAGGGTGATTTCCTCTTGGCACTGGCTGGCATCTGCTCCTGGAGGAGAGAGAGGTAAGAGAAGGAAGAAAAAGGCTTCTGGAGGCTTCTTTCCCCCAAAACTTCAAAGATAGCCCCCCTCCCCACACACGTTATTCCTCTATAGGCCACATTTTCTCCTTCACCCCTCTTTGGGGTGCAGTGGGAGCTGTGTGGCTGCTGTAGCCGCTCCCCATCTCACCCCCCTAGTTTGGCTCTGGGCTGTGCTTTGCATTCCTTCCCCATTTTTGGTAGCAAAGCCGCCTCTGCCTTGTGTGAAGCACGGCTCAAAGCCATGCTGTGTGGGGCCATCAGCTGCAGTCACAGGATGTGCTGGGGAAATGTCTGGCTTGGCCTTGGTGACTTGCTGCAGTACATGTGCGTGGGGAGGAAGATGCTGGCACGCGGGGCTTTCCCTGTGGGACTTCTGCCCAGCTTCTGCTGGCTCATGGGGCTGTCTGTGCTTGGGCTCTCTTATCTTCTGCAGTGCAATATATTTACAGGGTCTTTACCTCTGGGCTGTGGAAGTGGACAGTGGCACGGAGCAGCTCAGGGTGAGGTGGTAACCAGCACCAAGTGAGTGTCTTTGTATGGTGGATGTGTGTATGTGCACGTGTACACAGAGCACTGGGACATGTCAAGGTGGCCAGGGCTGAAGAAGAAGCTGGTGGAGATGCTGGAGGCAGGAAGAGCCCCTGGTCTGGACCACAAAGGGTTCAGACTGTTCATACCTGTTAGGGGCCCAGAAACACTGCTCTCTTCTGTCCCACAGGCCAGAAACACATCCACAGTGTCCTGGTCTGACAGGTCCATCATGTCCATCTGCTCCAGCACGTCCACATTCACCTCCATGGAGGAAATGCTCCCTAAGGGGGCTGCAGAGACAGTGGTCAACAAAAAGGTGAGTGTTAATGTCAGGCAAAGGGCACCAATAGCCCATGGACTTCATGAAGAACCCCAAAATGGGAGGCCAGCCTTGCAGTGGAGAACCAAATTGCACCTGCTGGTAAGAGTTCCACATGAGAATCACATTTACTTAAAACATCCCCTGAAAAACTCTGCTATCACTGCAGTCCCTGCTCCAGCTCCAAACTGCTGTCTGGAGGAGCCAGTGACTGCAGGCAGCAAGCCTGGGTACCCCAGTTCAGTGCCTTTGTTAAATGGAGTGAGTAATCCATATGCACACCCACACGCAGCATGTGTGGCCCTGTCTCTGTGCAGGACATGCATGTCCCTGGCTGCCTTTAGACATCTCTAACCTGTACCAGCTCCCTGAAGCATGTCTAGCCCTGCTCCCCTGCCCACAGCACTTACGTCTCCGATGCTCCAGCTGCAGGTGAGACACAGGGAAGAAGAAATCCACTTCATGCTGGAAAACCTCCTCAAAGAATTTCTGCCTCTCCCGTAGTTTCAACTGCTGCTGCTGCTGCATCGGCTCCGCATCCAGGCTGCGCTGCCCCGGCTCCATGTCTGGGGATGAAGGCAAGAAGGGTCAGGCCAGGAAGGCTGACAAGCCCTTCTGCCTGTGCCTGCTCACTCAGCACTGCTGTGCTCTGGGTAGGTGGTTCTCTCTGCTCTGCTTTGCTGGTGCACATTGATCTGGTCGCTATGAATGGATGTTATGTGCAAGAGTGGCAGTGGCACTTGCCGTGCTGGAGCCTCGGCTCTCACTTCTGAGTGTTGGGAAGCCAGGAGCTGGAAGCTCATATGCTGCTTTCACTGCTGCTGAAGTAAATTATCGTGGGGGGAAACGATGTTGATGTGAGATCAGTCATTTTAAGCACATGTTTAAAATTCATCTTTCTTGCTGCAAATCAGTGTTGTCTGTGAACACTAACATGCAGGGGAAACTCCCTGGGACAAGAATTGGCGTTAGTGTTCCAGGCTTCCTGGGCTGAGGAATGCATAAGGAATAAAAGGCATTAGCAGCCTTGTTACCCCTGCACACGCTCACTCCCACTGCCACCCCTGCTGCTACCACTGCCATAAATACAGCCGCACCCACGCTCGCAGGCTCCCCCACTCACATCCCCTACTTGCACAGCCAGCTTGGCTTCTGCCTGCACAAACATTTTCATTCCTGTAATTCCTCCCGCAGTTCAGCGCCGGTGCCTGTGTCCCTGGCTCACACGGGAGTGAAGAAGCCTTGGGCAGTTGTTGAAGGAAAGCAGCAGGGAGTTGTTGCTGCATCCCAGGACCTGGTACATCCCTTTTGGGTTGGGTACCCACAATGGCAAGGACCCAAATGCCACAGATGAACCTGGCTGTTCCCAGGCTGGTGTTTGACCTCAGTTGTTCCAGATTTCCTCCCTGCAGCTCTTGGCCCAGCCAGCACAAGGAAAATGTGATTACTGGAGCAGGCAGTGCAGTAACCAAGGAAACTAAACAAACATCCCCTGCTCTGTCTGAGCACAGCCCAAACCCTCCACTCCTCGGGGTGGGGTGAAGGGAATCAAGCAGCAGGCAGCGCCCAGCATCCCCTCCCTGTCTGGCAGCAGCAGGGACAGGGACAGCAGGTGGCTGTCAGCAACGCTTAGTGGCACAGGACACAGACTGGAGGGAGGTGATGGGCCTGGTGTGTTATTCTGGGGATAAACGTCACATCTCAGAACTCTTTTAGGGCTTCTGTGCCCTCTGCATGCCATTCTCTGGGGCATCCTTTGGCTGAACCACATTCTGCATGCAGCACAGAGCACTCAGGTCTGGTCATCACACACTTTCTGGAAGCAGCTGTGGTCCTCAGCAAGGCAATGCCAGGGCAGCAATCCTGGCTGCCTGAAGGGGCCTTTGCTTTGCTGTGTCTGACCACTGGGCAACCATACAGGTGTAGAACCCAGGCTGATAGCCATGATGGTAGAAGCAGGGTTCAGGTTAAGCTTTCATAGCCGCAGCCCAGTGCTGCTGCTTCATAGGGCACAAGGGAGTTTTTTGCCTTGCCACCTGCAGTAAGGCTGAGCAAAGAGAAGGAAGGCAGGGACAAGGAAGGGACTGGCTGACCATGGCACTAATTACAGAGCTGATCCTACACAGCTGTTGGAGCCAGCCCTGTCCTGTCTCTGCCAGGCCAAGTGCTGCCTGCCCAGCCCAGCTGTGCCCCATCTGTAGCAAATAGCCTGTGCATCCTGGGATGGGGGGAGTCTGTTGGGCTGCTGCAGGGGGCTGGGCTCAGGCTGTGCTGGTTTTAGACTCAGTAGGAAGAGGCAACCCCTCACCTGTCCACCTCATTGCCTTATTTCAAGCTCCCAGTTTTGAGGTATGGACCAGCTCTCTGTGCAGCACCTTCCCAAAGGTACCCTCATTTCAAAGTAAGATGGAGGATTTTTAAATCCTCCTGCGGTACAAATACAAAATAAACCAAATGCCAGCAGGTGCTGCCTGTAGTGCCATGAGCTTGGCTGATCCTTGCCATCCACCTTCCCACTACCCCTTTCTTTCCCACTGCATGACTGATACGTGTGATAAGGGCATGATGGGGTCAGCCAGGACAAGTGCTGGTGGTGACATTCCTGTGGTGCACAGGGAAGGCATGCCGGGATTTCTCTTGTGGGAAGAATTATCCGGACCTGTTTTTTTTTTTTTTTTTTTTATGAACTTGTTTTCGAGCTCTCGCTGGGGTGCTGAGCACGAGCTCTGAGCTGCTATTATGTGCATAACACAGCAGCTGCACAGCTCAGCCCTGCCTGACCCATGACCACGGTGAGAGTCGGGGATGGAGCCTTCCCCGCCTCCCAGGGCTCTTCCGGGCACGCAGGGAGCAAACAGCCCCATAGTGTAGCTGGTCCCCAGCAGTTCTGGCTGGAGACATAAAGGAGAGCCATGTGACGGCCGGTCATGCTCCCACTGTCAGCGCGGGGATTGTCTCATCCTGCTGGCATGTTCCCACCGAGCGACACGTTCGCATGCACAATGCGGCCCCTGTGCTCCGCGGGGGATTTGTCAGTACCTGCTGGTGGCCTGGCTTTCATTACTATTGTCATGGTTATTGCTGCAGCCTCTCAGCCATGGGACCAGAAGCTTATCTGCATGCACAGCCAAGCCCTCCCCGATGGCTGAACCTCGGCCACCAGCACCCTGCTGCCCGCAGATCCTTCCGGCTCTCGCAGCTCGCTGGGCTATGTGAGGGAAGGGACAGCTCCTGGGATGCTGCTGGCATGGGGTGAGGCCAAAACGGAGTTTTAAGGAGCACTGGCTGAAGTGCCAAACCCTCACTCAGGCTGGGAGCAGAGCGTGTTGCCGTTGCCTGGCTGCATTTCTGTGGGGAATGGACACATTTTGCATTTCTCCTTTTCCTGTAGGATCTCAGTACAAACCCCCCTCTGAGCCGGTGAATAGAAGGGGTGTATTTTGGGCTAGGAGAAGGCTTATTAGTGGAGGCACAAGGCCAAAAGGGGGTGGGGACAGCCTTTTCTTCAGCTCTTCAATTCCTTGTAGAAATTTCAAAGGAGCTGAGATTATTTTTCAGTAGGGAAAAAAGGGGTTGAGGGGAGTTCAAATGAGGGGTCACGCCAAGCATGGACCAGTTCCCTGGTCCCTACAGAACAAATGAGTGGGAGCAGCCTGGCTCAGCTACCTCAGCCCTTCTCCCTGCACTTGCCCAGGACCAAACCCTGACCCTGCACCTCTGGAAAGGACCAGGGCAACCCCAGCTGCCTGGCTTGCAGGACACAGGGAGACTGGAGCAGGGAAGATGCAGCTCCTCAACTGCCACAGTGTCCTTCAGGCAGCCCTGCAGATATGGGCCTTTTCTTGTCAGCCCTGTCCCAGCAAAAACACAGCAGAGCAAGGGTAAGTCCCAAGGGCTCTCTGCTCCTTTAGCCTTGGGAGAAGTAGCTGGAGTGGAATGCTGCAGAGAAGCATTCAGGGTCATGCACGTGGAGATGGGATACTTGGACACCGTGGCCGCCTGAGCATGAATTCCCTGCACAGTCCCTTCTCAGTCAGCTTTCCTGACCTCGTGTTGCAGCAAAGCAAAAAATAACCACAGCCTTGGTGAGAGGAAATGCACGAGAAGAGTGGAAGGGAAGCGGTGGTTTTGGCAGAGCCGTTTGCTGGGAAAAGTGAGGAGGGATGAGACGGGGAGGACACGGCACTCCATAACCCCTCTGTGCAGCGGTTTCATCGCCTGCACTCCTCCAAGTCATCTCCAAATCCCCTGCGTCTCAGCACTAAAAATATCCCTGCCGCCCAGAGCTCTTTTACCCAGCAGAGGCTGTGTCATAAGACCCTGCTATTTACGGGGCTCTGATTCAATTCCTGAAGCCGCGGGAGGATGAAAAAGCCGGGAGGGCAGCGCGGCGTGCGGGAAGGGACAGGCTCGGCGTGCAGACGTACGGGAGTACGGCTCCCAGTCGCCCCAAACTGCTGTTCGTGCCTTGCTCTGCTCGCTCTCTTCACCCCTTAAACCCTGCTGGTGCGGGGGCACCTGCCGCTCCCGGGGGCTCACAGACAGCAGCCTCTGCTCCTGTCCTGTGGCCAACAGGTCCCCGAGCTCAGCCGCTTCCCAGCAGGTGCCCCCACTGCGCATTCCCATCCCGGGCTCGGGGCTTTCCACGCATCCCCCTTCCAAAGCAGCCGGACCAGCAGGCTGCAGCTGCGGGGCGAGCCAGGATTTGGGGTGGTAGGACTTCGGGGAGGCATCGCCGCCCCTACAGCACGTTACAGGGCAGCGGGAGGGGGTCCCACCCTCCCGACCCCACTCCCCCTCCCTCCGATTGCTCCCCCGCACTCCGCCTCGCCCAGCACTCACCGGGCAGCCGCCGGCTGCGGCTCCGAGCCCCGGCGCCCGACATACGGCGGCGGCTGCTGAGCCTGGGCCGGCTTCGGCGCGGGGCTGCCGCTCGCCCATGGCCGCGCTGCGGGGCGGTGCTCGGTGCTGCGGGGCGGTGCCAGCGAGCGGGCGGTGCGCGGGGCTCGGGGGGCTGCGTGGGTGCCGGAGCCCGGCGGGGTCTCTGCGAGTCTGGCTGCCGTGCGGCGGCCCCGCTGCAAGGGATGAGGATGCACGCTCTGCTCGCTGCGTCCTTTATTATTATTATTATTATTATTATTATTATTATTATTATTATTCTCTGGCTAAAAGGAATCGCCGGGTGTTGTTTGCATCCTCCTCCTGTTGCCTTTGCTGTCTGCCCCGCTTGCTAGAAGCTGGGCTGAGCTGGAGACCTGTTGCCTGTGCTCCCCACAGCTGCTGGTGTCACCTCGTGCAGGTGATGTTGGTGACAAGGGGTGAGCTTTGGTGTGGATGTGGGTACCTGCAGGCCTGGCTTGCTCCCAGCCCACACCAGGCAGTGTGCCCACCCCATCAGCCATCCCCGCTGACCCTTGCTGCGAAGGCAAGAGCAGGGCTGGGGAATGAGCTCAGCTCTGTGCTATGTGCAGTGTCTGCACCCATTGGCACCGCTTCCCACCACGGCACGGAGGCTGCTCCCTTTCTCAGGATTCCCTGCAGCACCCCAAGGTCCCTGGGGCTCTGTGCTCCCCATGTCCCCACTCTGGGCACAGCACTGGTGGTGCTGAGAGACCCACATGCGGGCATCCCCATGCTCCATCCTGCCTGGCTGGGTGGGGGCTGGGAGCCATGATATCAGCCACCCACAGCCTGACTCATCCCAGCTCTCCAGCACAAGCAGTGCAGCCCAGCAGGGCACTCATTTTATTCCAATTAAATTGATAAGGCCCCACGTAATGATTCTAACTCGTGACCAAGTGTGCCTGCTCCTGGCCAAAAGGCAAGAGGGGACACTGAAGGTGATGGAGAGTTCCCACTCGAGGTAGTGAGCCCTGAGAACAAACCTCTAATTGATACTCACAGGGATGGAGCATCCCTGCCTCGCTTGTGCTGCTGGGGCAGGCCGATGGCATTGTCCTGTGTCACCAGGACTCACCCTAACCGCAGTGCCCTGGTCCCTGGGAGGTGTCCCCAGGAGATCCGGGTCACTGGCCCAGGTAGGGAATGACACATCTTTCCGGGACGCAGAACTCAGCTCCTGCCAAAAGTCCCCAGGGGACCCAGCATCAAAGCGTGGTCGTCATCAGGGGAAAATGCAACGTGACTTGTTCCTCCTGCTGCTCCTGGTCAGGTTTCTCCCTTCTATTACAGGTTTGCAACAAACAGGAGGTGAGTCAGGGCGTGTGGGGCGGGAGGCGAGGATGGAGCTGGGGAGGGAGCAGCTGCTCAGCGAAAGGTGAGCTGGTGCTAGGCAGGTGAATCATTCCGTGGGGAAAATCGATCGTAATCCTCACAAGCAGTGCTGGCAGTGAGGCACAGCTTGGCTCGTTCGGTAAATTGCGGAGCAAAGAGAAAAACAAGGCAAGGCTTTTTTTTTCTGAGGCAATAAATTGTGAGGGAGCAGCCTGCGAAGCTGCAGCAGCCGCATTCCCTGGGCTCCTTAAAAGGGAGATTTTAGTCTGGGACAGCAGGGAGACAGCAAAGCCATAAACACCCTCGCAGGAACGTGGCTGCTGAGAAATGAGGCTCCCACAGCACTGTGGGGAGCAGGGCCGTGCTCTTGGCCGTGCCCCAAGAGAACACCGGTGTCCCCAGGCCTGGTGGTCCCCAAGGGGCTCTGACCTAGCGCTGTGTCCCTGCATCCCCCATGTCCATGCCATGCAGACGTCCCCATGGCTGGCTGGTGACACGGGAGCTGGCAGAGCCACAGGGCAAGGGGTGCTCGCATGAGTGACTGCCCTGTGCATTTGGGTAGGGGTTCCCTTTTTTCTCTTTTAATCTTTTCACTCCCACAGGATCTACAACTGCCCCTCAGGGATACTTGTTTCTGATGTAGCCCTGCACTTTTCTCCCACACCAGCATGTGTTGCATTTCTGTTGAAGCCAGCTGGCAGGGATGGCTGCGTGGATGCTCAGATTGGAGCCGCTGACATTGAACAGGCTGCCAGAGCTGGGTGAAGGCATGGCTCACCACGAGCCCTGCAGCACTGGACCTGTCATGCCAATGTCACCACACAGCCTCAGCCCCAGGGAGCCAGGAGACACTTAGCACAGAGCTGGGGGCAATGTGGGGCTGGTGCAGATGCTGGTGTCCAGAAGGACCGCAGAGGAAGAGCCATCCCACCATGCAGGGTACAGACAAGCACTCTTTGCCACTGTGTTCTTCTCACCCTTAAGCCACTCCATCCCTGTACCCCTATTGAGCTCTCCCTCCGTGAAGCTGATCTCCCATTAAGCTGTCTCTCCATTGATCCACCTCTGCCATTACAGGGCTGTCCCCATTCGCTTTGCACAGCTGGGTGCTGGGACTGGAATTCTGTTGTCACAGAACAGTGAGGTCACAGCCCATGACACTGTGGCCACCAGCAGTGCCAAGAACAGCCCCCAGCACCTCTCCCCACAGCTTTGCATTGCCATCTGAGGCCCCAAAATGAAATCAGCTGCACCCCAGGAGGTACAACCCTATGGCATGACACTGCACTCCCCGAGCCACCACCATGGGGACCCTGGGGATCATAGGGAGGGGACCCTATCAGTGGGGTTGGGGTCTCCATGTGCCTTTGGCAACACCATGAGCTGGGAGAAGACCCCACTGATTTGCCCACTCCTTGCTCAAATTAAGCATCTTTGCTTGGGGTGCTGCATTTCCAAAGAAGCCCAGGGCACCCCAGTGAGATGATGCTCTCTGGGATGAGCTTGGTGCCACCCTAACCCTAACTGTGACCCATCACTGTTTTCTCCCCCTCTCAGGCTGGAGACCCAAGGGACAAGCCCTGTCCGCTATGCACCATGGAGCAGAAAAGCCGCCTCTGGAAAGTAAGGGTCCCATGGCATCACCGCAGGGGCTGCGGGGCACGGGATGGGCACTGAGCCCTACCCCTGCCCTCCTGCCCCACAGACACTGAAATCACTGACACTGCTTCGGCTGCTGAAGAGCACAAACCGCAGGGTGCAGCGGCTGCACGCGGTGGCTGTGCGGTGCTGGCGCTCACTCACAGCACAGGGGCTGCCTGGCATCACATCACTGCTCCCCAGGTAGGTGGGGGTGCAGAGCCCGTGCCCCAACCCTGCTGCTCTGCTGGGAAAGGACTACAGTGGGGTAAAGCCCAGGGGTGTGAATTAGAGGCGGTTTGGGGTGGTGCAGGGAGGGCGCTGGGTTCGGCCTTTCTGGAGGTCTGCAGACAGGTGCAGCCCATTGGGTGCACTGAGCCATGACCTGCACCCGGTGCTGGCATACAGCCCCTCTGGGCAGCACGGATGTAGGATACTTTTTGGTCTGGGCTTAGGGAATGTCCCCACCTGCCAGAGCTGGAGGAGGCTGTGGACGACGCTGAGACCAGCTCGACCAGCAGCACCATGGATGCACCAATGGACCCAGAGACAAGCACACCACCAGCAGCTGCGGAAGCCAAGCAGGACTTACTGGGGACACTTCCCCAGCGCTTCCACATGCCAGCCCCCAAAGTGCTGTGCCGGCCTTCAGCCCAGCGCTGGGTCAAGCCCTGCTGCACCCGATCCTGCGGAGAGAGCCTGGAACACACGCTCACCATCCGCTACCCCCGGTGATCACCATCGGTATGAGCACTGCCCTCGCTGAGCAGGGCCATCCTCCTGAGCTCCAGCACAGCTCGTCAGCTGCTGGCTTCACTTTCAGGGCTGCCTGAGGAGTTGGAGAAGAGCTGCCAGGAGACCTGTGGGGTGATGCACTCAGCCTCCTGCTATGAATAAAGGGGGTGGCCTATGCCTTACCAACACTGACTGTCTGCCTCAGAGCTGCTTTTAGTTTGGGTTTCCACTGTGCTTGTAAGGGGTTTCCGCTTGCTTTGGGTTCAGGGGATGGAGAATGCTGGGGGTGCCAGAGCAGCCCCTCCCCCAGGTGCAGGGATAGATATGTACAGAGAGGTGGAGGTCTCTCCTCAGGGCACCCCAGGACATGCTGTGCTCATCCCCATGGGGCTCAGACACCACCAGCCCCCATAGTGATGCTGTCAAAGCTCCAGAAACCTCCTGCTCCCATCTGGGCTGGGGTAACCAAAGAATGACTCATTGGACAAAAGCCAGGATCAGGCTGTAAAGATGCACAGTACCGTGTAATCCCCTTAAGGATATTACAGCAATGGGAGCTGCTGGTGCCAGAATCAACAAAGAACGTTTTATAGCTGGAGGTGCTAAAGTTGAAGGTTTTGAAGCCACACACACTTCAGGCTTTGTTCAATGTGATGCACTGGGTTACCCAGGGGGCTCAAAGCACAGCCTGAGGATGGCTGCAGCCCCACAGCAATGGCAGCTCTCAGAGCAACACTGGGACAAGCAGAGAAAGCACCAGGTGAAGAGCAAGAGCACAAGGAGAGAGCATGAACCCAGAGCAATATTCATTCTGCCCAGCTTTCCACTGCTGGAGGGCCCTACTGCACATTCGGGGTGACACGTGAGAGCTGCAGCCTGGTTTGACAGTGGCTTTTGGCCCTGCACGGAGCAGTGCACGCTGCACAGCACACCGGGGCCAGTCCAGCAGGTGGCACTCGGATCGCATGGTGTTGGGGCTGCACAGCATGGAGTTGCACAACTGGGGATTCGTGGAAAGGGACAGGATTGCACAAGGCTGGGAATACTAGGAAGGGGCAGGGCTGCACAACTGAGGGTTTCTGGGAAGAAGCAGGATTGCATGAATCTGGGAAGCTTAGCAGAGGATGGGGTGTGTGTGGGATACCAGGTGCACCTTAACCCTTGGGACCCCAAATCCCACATTTTCCCATGCAGCTCCATGCACTGAGCTGCATTTTCCCAGGCTAGGGGGGCAAGTGCTGGCAAAAGGGTGTAATGGGGTCCATGGGCACAGGGTGCTTAGATGTGAGGTGCAGGCTGCATGCAGCCATGAGTGCTAGCAAAGGGCTGCAATGAGAACTGGGTTGCCTGTGGGCGCTCATTAGTGGCGGCTCGGCCTCCTTGTTAATTAACCATGGCCGATTCCACTAATTAGCTACGGCCGGAGCTGGCTGCCCTCCTCAGGGAGGTGGGCGGGGATCCTGCAGGCCATGGGGGTTCCAGGGCTGCAGTGAGGGTAGTGGCATGGGGCGGCAGTGGGGCACGGCTGCGTTACTTGTGGCGCTGGGTAAGGCCGGGGCTGGGATCTGGGTTGGGGTCTGAGTATGAGAGCCAGGTCCATGTGGATTCAGGAGATCTGGGCGTGGGGAACGTCCTGTGCCTGGGATATCTGGGTGCTGGGGTCCCCTGCCTGTGCCTCCAGAGGTCTCATGCTCACACCAACCCCTTGGTGCTGGCAGGGCACCTGGCCATGCTGCTGGCATCGGGCACCGCCTGCGCCAACGTGTACCGAAGGGTCTCTGACTGCGTCCTGAAGCTGGGAGAGAGCATGGCCACATATGGGGAGGAGGACAGCGTGGAGCTGCAGGGGCTGCGCAGGGTCTGTGGGTGAGTACAGCCATGTGAGCCGCTGCTTTCATGTTTATTTGCCTGCCCCCTTGCTAGGCACCAAGCAGATGGGAGCTGGCTATGTCCTGCTTTCTTCCCCTTTCTGCACAGACAAACCAGCTCAGGGTGCACAGCCTTCCCAGGACATGGCAGGATGCTGGGATGCAATGGGAATTGCTCAGTACTGTGTCTCTGAGCATGTGGGTTCTTGGTGTTGGGAACAGCAGGGCATGCAGCACAGTGTGTGATGTGTCTGGCTGCTGAGGCTGATTCTTCTCTGCTGAAACTTCCAGCTCCAGGGCGGGTAAATGTGTAGGAGGAGGCTTTGAACAGGGGCATAAAATAGGAGGGATGGAGGAAGGGATTTTCCCAGTGGGGCAGAGGCTCACGACCTCTCTGAACAGCCAACTTCTTGCCCCAGACCTGGTGAAGTGGTGACAGTGCATGACAAGCCTGCTGTGACCAGAGGAAAAAAGACAATGATGTCCCAGTTTCCTGCCAGGAACTATTTCTGAACGACTGGCCTTTAACTCCATCCTTTCTCTGCCTTCCCAGAATCATGGCCCTCTCTCTGAGTACATGACTTGGGGGTGGAAGTGGAGCTGAGAGCACTGTGCCAGCAGTGTGGACATCTTGGTTCTCTAAGGGCTGTGTGACCACAGCCCAGCAGCTGCCGGGGGGGCTGAGCGGGGTGAAACACTGCAATGTGCCATCCCTGACCAAAAGCAGAATTGGGTCGGGTGCTGCTTTGTGCCACCCCTTACCCAAAGGTGTGAGTCAGGCTAAACCCTCACCTCACCTGGCAGCAGGCTTTCTCATTATCTCAGGATATTTATTCTGCCACGGTGACTCTGTTTAATGAACTGGATCACAGCTGGCATTCTGACTTAAGCTTGGTAAGAAAACGAAATAAAGTTCTCTTGTCTGCGTTTCTGGAGGAAGGTGTCAACTCCAGCACAGGGCACTTAGGCAAAACACGCTGTGCTGTTTTGGTGCTGGGGTCTCTGCTCTGCTGCTGGGCTGGGATGTGAGCCTGGTAGCCCTGTGTAGGAAAGGTGCAGAGCCACTGCTCTTCTTTTTGGAGGGAGACCTGGGGAAGGTTAGAAACAAGCATGGCTTAAAGCCTGATCTATCTTGTGAACAGGTTATCATTTTGAGAGAAACCACAGCTTCGAACCACGCTGGTGAACCATTCTGAGGTCTTGCTTGCAGGTGCTGGGGAGCTCTGCCAGCCAGTGCTGTCTGTGCCAGCTGGAGGAGTCACCAGGGCTGTGGCTCCAGGGCTGAGCACAGACCATGGCATTCGCTGAGACTTTCAGGCTCCTGTTGGTTTATTTTGTGGGTTTGCATCTACAAAGCAGAGACCTCACCTGTGAGTTCAGCTGTGCTGGAACATGCTGTCGTGCTGCTGTTCACACAGCAACCTCCTAGGATGTCATCATCCCCTCCCCAGCACAGTGCAGTACTATACAGCAGCCTTTGGTTCTGGCACTGAGTCAAATGCTCTGCTAGTCCCAAACACTCTGCAACTGAAATAACCTAAATAAACCTCCACAAAGCAGCACACCAAACCCAGACAGACAGAGATGCCTGCTCCAGTCCTTCCCATGCAAGGCAAGGAGGCGCAGCTCCACCTGATGCCTGCTGTCCTCACCTGGGGGCAGCTGGAGCTCATCCACGTTGCTCTGCAGCTGTGGGCAGAGAGCTTATTGGGAACAGCTCAAAAGCAGCTTCTCCAGAACCAGCTGGCTTCTTCAGCAAAGGTAAGAAGAAGCTGAGGGGCAGACACAGCACAGTGCTAGTGCTGGAGTGTGCTAGGCCAGCAGGACAGCACCCATCATGTTCTACATGGAAGTCTTATTGGGATGCTGAACTTTTAAGCTTTAATAGAGTGGGTGTTTTCTGTTGGGCTGCTCTCTGTGCTGGTCCTGGATAACTCGCGCAAAATATTGAGGCTGCAGATGTTTGCAGGGTTGGCTGGGCTCTGCCTGCTTCTTTATGCTGTGATACAGCAAGAGGATTAATGGTGTGGTTCTCTGCTGCAGGTACTGGGATGAATTTCATGTCTGTGCCCTGACTGCTCTCTGGGAGTGCCAGAAGGAAGCAGCAGCCGTCTGGGAGATGCTGAGGAAGGAATCCCGAAAGATCAAATTCCAAGGCAGCCTGTTTGACCTCTGCAGCTCCAGCACAGCCCAAAGCTTTGCCTGGCCCTGTATTCCCAACGTGTCAGTTCTTAGCATCCCCCTCATCATCACTTGGCTGAACTTATAGACCTCAGCTCCGTAAGTACCACAGCAAGGGTGCTGGCAGCACATTGGGGCTCCTTTCTGATTGTTTGCTTTTCCAGACCTTTGAGGAACACAGTGTGCAGTGCCAGCAGGCTCTCAGCTCTGTCCCATGTCTGTGATACTCTGAAGAGTTCAGCAGCATCTCGTGGGTTTTGCTATTTCTCTGTAATTTGGGACATTTGTCCCCTTTGGCCTCAGGGCACAAGCAGAGCTCTGGCTGCCTGCAGAGGATTTGGGGGAAAATGGGAAGTGAGTCACGAATACCAGATTCTTTTTGGACCTTTCCATGGCTGCTGTATGGAAGCCTGTTTGTTCAGCTGCCTGTTTCCACAATGTCAGCTCTCCAGGTTTTTGATTCGGGTGCTGAAAACTTGTGAGGTGCAGGGGATGGTGTATGTCCTGCAAAGAGCATAGAGGTACTGGCCTTCTTTCTGGGGGGACACGCTGAAAACCCCACTAAAGAATAGTCTCAGGTGCATGACCTCTTTCCTAAGTACACATCTGGACTCCTGAGTAATTCCTGTGCTATGTGTAGATCACTTTTCTAAGGAAATGAAGAGGCAAAAAAATCTTTGGGGTGGGGGGAGATGATGTCAAGCAACCATGACAAAACCTTTTTAGGGTTTTTGCTTTGATGTTTTTGCCAGTAGTACTTGTGAGCAGCTCTGTGGGTGACTGTGCGTAATTTTATAGTATTAAATTTTGTTGCAGAGATTGAAGCTATTTGTCCTGCCTCCTGTTTGTAGTGCAGCCTCTTCTAGCATCCTTTGCAGCTCAGAGCATGATTAGTTTTGCAGCTTTGGTACGCACAGAAAGTATTTGCAAAAGAGAGGTGCTTGCATGCAATTTCTGGATATGCTATAAAGACTCTGTTATGGGGAATACAATGCAGTTGTGTGTGTAAAGATACTAAAAAAGCTCTGCCCTGCCTTACTGTGTAGGGGAAGAGGAGCCACAGAGACCCAGCGTGGCCTGCGGCCAGTGGCTCTCTTAGGGGAAGCACAGCAAGTCTTGGTCTTCCTACTGCTTTCAGTTCATGCCCCACAGAGTACTGCCACTCCTGAATGGGGAAGGAGCTGGTTTTCATCATTCTCTGTATTAGTGCTTAACAGCTGGATGTGGCTGTGAATTTCATGTTCTAATTAAAAGAACCATCTGTTTTTCATCAGATTTGAAATGTCTGTGTTTAACTAACAGGGTATTTCAGTCTGACTTACCTAAATATGTCACACATCACTCTGGCTGTTTTCAGACTGGCCACATGTCAGGGCACTTGCTTTGCTTTTAGGACAGGAATAGTGGTTTGGGGTTTTTTAATGACTGCTCACGTTCCTCTCCTGGCACTCATGCTCTTTCTCTTACTATTCTCTCATTTACCCATTCAACTCCTGCAGCTGCAGGATGGAATGAATGAATGGAGGCAAATTCCAAGAAATAAGATGGGGAGGAGCAGCTGGTGTTCAGACAGTACTCCAGAGCAAGGTTTAACCCAGGCCTTCAGCAGATAAGTTATTCATGTACTCAGCATCTCTGGCACAATGCCTAACAATATGTAGTGGAGAAAGAGTGAGCCAGGGCGCTGCAGAGCCTGAACCTCTACACTGCTTTGGTTCTCCTCCCTGCTCCACTCCAACATCAGTGTATGCTACTCCATGCTTTCCTCCCTTTTCTCTGTTGTCTCCTCTTCTGCTTGTGGTTCGTAGTTGGGGGGGGAAAGCTGAGCAGGTGGGCATCTGAGGCTGCAGTCTTTTGTATCCAGATCATGTATATGATCTTTGTTTTGAATAGGTGTTTTATGCCTCTAGGGAAACAAAGCACAACTCTCAACATTTCCCTTCCTTAGCTTCTCTTTCAATTTGGCATCTCCTCTTAAAATTTTCAATGTTTGGATGGCTTTGGGGAAGGGAGATGTAAAAGTCTGAGCAGAGATCTCCAAGAAGTTATCATTTGCAAACCCTGGGTTGCAGATGGCTAGCTGATGCTACTGCTGTCTCTGAGAAGAGCAGGTGTTAGGGAAAATCTTCCCTGGAAGCAAATACTTCAACTCCATTGCACACATGAAAAAAAGTTTCATTAAGAAACAAAGACCATCTGCCACCATTCAGGTATGGAGCAGCAGAAGTTCTTAAAGCCAAAGGTGCTGCTAAGATCTGACTGAATGTATGCAAGTGAAAACTAGGTCTCATAATATGGCAGTGATGAATTTCAGAAGCTCCCTTCTCAATCTGTGTGTAATTTTTAGCAAAACTTCCCTTATAACTCAGACAACTACAGTAAGTTTCCTTTATTAAAAAAAAAAAAACACTATTCAGATTTAATTCTCAAAGGAAGCAGACTTAAAAGCCTTTCTATTCCCATAGCATGTTTCATGCTAACGCAGTGCAGTGTGTTGGATGTCCCACAGCCTCAGTGTTAAATCCAGGTGCACCAAGGACTCTTCTCATGGCCCTGCTCTACCTATGGATCTCCATCCACAAGGCTGCATCAGAACATCACATCCTCCTGCAAGGGTGGTCGTTGAGGCACTCAAAGCCTATCTTATCATTCAGAAAGTAGGGAAGGAAGTATTCTTTGGTCTGAAGTTTTCATCCTTGTTTTTCCAGGAGAACAAAGATAGCATCTCTGTAACACAATCTCACAATCCCAGGATCAGCTATCCATTTTCCTTTTAAGGAATGGGAGTACTGTGACTTTCCTTCCTCTGCCTATTCCCAGGGAACTGAGACGTTCCCTCTCAGTACCAACAGCAAACAGCAGGAGAGGACAAAATGACCCTGAAAGAGCCTTAAAATACAACTGATACTGAGCTGGAGACTGGCAGACCCAAGGCAGAACGTGCCCTCTGCTGTGCACCATGCATGCACATCTCTTTTCAGAAGGAGATACTGGCACCTACTGGAAGACCAAGAGCTGCTTCATGTCTAGGCTGAATGTGACTGGAAGGAAGGCAAGGATACTCAAATATGAGAAACCAAAAGGCTTGGAGCAGGGATGAAAAGCCTTGCTGAATGCACAGCAGAGCTAGAGGGAAAACAGTAACAAATGACATCTGAACTTGTGTTAACTTTTTCATCTGAAAGATTGCTTCTATCCATATGATAGCACTAAAATTGAGCTTTAAAGGGGTTTTGGTCAGGAAGAGTTCTTGGTGAAAGCTCAGACCACAGACAGCTGTGCCTAAGCACATGTAACCTGCAACACTTCCTTCTCTGCAGCAAACTTGCCAGATATTTAAAACACTTTGATATCAATCTGCCCAAATTCACAGAAAATGAAAGTAGGAGTTGAAATACAGTTCCCCCAGTAACAAAAGAGCAACTTCAAAGAATTTCTCATCTGCAACTCAAATCATCCCATCAATTCCCAACAAGCCAAATTAGCAGGTAATTTGCACAAGTTAACATTTACAAACATTAACGTACAAAAAAAAATTACCACAGCCAGATGTGCATAGCAGAAATTCTTCCTTCAGAACTTGCCTTGCCCCCTTTCAGGTTCTTGCAAACCAAACGCCCCTCAGTGGCCGCCCTGCAGGATGCAGGTCTGCTTGTGCGGGCTGTGGGTCCCGAAGGAACCGCTCAGCCTTACCTCCTAGCAAAGACGCTGGTATGTGTGACTGCCCCGGGGGTGAGGTTATTGGAAGTGCCTCTAAAAGAAAGCACATCTATCACTCTGAGAAACAAGCAGCAGTTTCTCACCTGAATAAACATCACCTCAGCCAGATCAGATCTCCTATTTGTTTTTTTTCTCAAGTCAGAGCTAAGAACCAGGTAAATATGAACAGCTCTTGGTAACCTTTGCAGGCTTACCTGAGACACCTCCAGCCTGGGACTGAGCATGTGGAGCCCTGGACTGCTGATACTCCTCCTGAAGTGAGCACTATGTTTGCTGATTTCTCTAGACAGCGCTCACAGATGCCTTGATTACAGGGGAGAGGTATGAGATATTTACTGCAGGAATAGGGGGCAGCCTACAAATTATATTTTTCTCTGGCTGTATCCTCCTCTGTTGCCATGATACAGACATTCGTGGTATTTTTTTGAAGTGCTCAGTTTCCCAGGAGAACACGTTCACAGCAACATAATACTTTTATTGTTAGAAAAGATTTCTTCAGCAAACTGCTGTCTGACATCTCTATGTATTAAACATGGAAAAAGCAAACAACCCCATCTAACATTACAAGGTTTTTAGGGTCTCAGCTGGTGATTCAGGTAAGTACAGCCATATTCCTTCTTACCCCATCCATTCGCTTCCTTGACTTTTTTCCAACCGAATCACAAACAAGTGTCAGCGCAGACGCAGCAGCTCCCAGCCCCACTGCTCATAGTGCCAGCTCCTGCAAAACGAGCTGACCATTGCAGTACCCATACAGGGACCTTTCACATTTGTTAAACTCCAGATACTCCTCCTTGTGAAGTTTTTGCTACCTGGCTTTTAACAGTCTCAAGAGTGAAGAGTTTAAGAGCACACTTGCCATACAGTCATTAAATGCTTAGTGTTAATAAAATAAACATCTTCTCCTCCTCTGTTGTCTGATGATGACAGAGGAGATGCTCACACTCACGCAGTCCTTAAAAAAAAAAAAGTCTCAACAGACCTGCTGTGCTTCTTCAGTGATGACTTTCAGGCATTAGATGTACTTGTGCTGGAAACAATGACGCAATGCAGCATGTTGTTGCCAGAGCAAGTTATACATTGGATTTGGGAGCAGAATTCAGTGGGATTTCCCTAAGTTCTATCCTCATGCAGAGGTACTCCCCAATTGCAGCCATCAGTGCTGTGCACACGATGTGCACCAGCCACCACGTCAGAGTCGAGGGAAAGTGTGAGTTATAAATCCAGCAGCCCAGAAGATGGAAGAAATGAACTGTGACTGTGAAATCCAAGCACTGTTTTCCTCGCCGGATAAAGTACAGCAAGCCCAGAGCACTGCAAAGTAAAGACAGACAAATAAACAAACTGCACCATGCCTATGAAAAAGGG